ATATAGAAAAGTTCAATAGAGAACCATTATTAATCAAGGAAACAAGGAATCAATCCAAAGCTTCGAAATTTAAAACGATCAACGACAAAAGGAAGGGTTGCAGACTTTTACAATGGACGTACATGCACCAGATTATAACAAACTCACTTTTTTTAGTTTAATTTTTTCTAGGCCATGTTTTTTATCGAAAAAAAAACCGAATATACCATTGTTCGTGATTTTTCGTCCTCTTTCCATAGAGATCTATAATGATATATAAAAAATGAACTTTTTTTTTTCTTCAAAAAACTCAGTTCATTTATTTGTTTGTTAAAAAGTTAAGGTCTATTTTTTTTGTAGAAAAAAATTAACAAATATATCAAAATTCATATTTTTTGGTACTCTTTAAACATAGATTCATATCGATGTTAAAAAAAATCGAAATTTCAGTTCAAATTCACATTGTAAAGCTGTTCAGATTCACATTGTGAACCTGCTCAGATTCACAATGTGAATAAATCCATTTGTTGATTTTACAAAACTAATTTATGAGTAATGAAAACGTTAAAAATATTATAAAACTACATGAAATATATTTCGATTCATATGTAAATTTCACTAAGTTAATTTACGAATAATCAAATAGTTGAAATATTAAGTCAAATTTACATTGTGAATGTTACAAATTGAAATATTTACAGTTTAGATTCACAATGTGAATCTGAACTGATCGAATTTTTTCACATTGCGAATGTTACAAATTGAAATATTCACAGTTTAGATTCACAGTGTAAATCTGAACTGATCGAGTTTTTTTTTTTTAATCGGTGTTGATGTTTATTAATAGAGTACAAAAAATTAATATTTTTGGTATAATTAGTTTTTTTTTTTTGATAAAAATAAACTTAAATATTGAAAAAAATAACAAAATGAAGTGAGATTTTTGAAAAAAATAATAAACTTATATATTATACAAAAATAAACTTATATATTATTAAAAAATGTCTCCATAAGTCACACGTTACAAACAACATGGTTCGCCAAGACTTATAAAAATTTGAAATTTGGTATTGCAATTTATGCTTAACTTTATTTAAAACTTTAATAATTATTACATAGTTTCTTTAATAATATTTTTTTTGGTAATCAATGCATGATTTGTTTATCGATTTAAACCCAAACATCCATAACTTTTCAAATCTTTTATACTAATGACTATAAATTGGTTCATTAATGTAGTATAAATACAAAACTATACCAAAAGATTATATATGTAAACTTTAGTGTCTATTATTTTTTAAATAACAATAAGTTTTTTAAGTCTATAACCTTTTGATGGTAATAAATGGTTTTAAAATCAATTAATAATAATAATAATAATAATAATAATAATAATAATTAATAATAAATTATAATTATAAATCCTATAACGTTACTTTAAAACATGCGTTGATATATTTTAAATAATCAGTGATTGAAATTAAAAGATTGTCAAATAAGAGATTTTTAAATTAATTAATTATACACTAGATAAAAATAATTTGAAATTAAAAAATTATTATTAATTTTATTTATATGTAAACCACGAGTAGATGTCATTGATTAATAATTTAATATGATTTTAATATATGTTTATCTTATCATATTGTTCAAAATAATTATAACTAAACATATTAACTTAATATAAGAATTATTATTTCATAATTAATATCAATAACATAATATTTTTAATATTTTTTTTAAAACATTAACTAGATAATTTTTAGATGTACCCAGGGGCGGACGCATGATTTTACAGTAGGGGTTGCACGGGAAAGTTAGGGGTTGCACGGTAGTATAAAAAATAAAAATTTCGAAAATTTTTTGAAAAATTTTCCACTGCGGCCGGAAAAGTTAGGGGTTGCCGGTGCCACCGTGGACCACCCCTAGATCCGCCCCTGGATGTACCAACATTATCCCATCTAATGTTATATTAATAGAAATAAATTGTTTAAGGGACCAATGCTAGCATTTTTATAAACAAAAACAAATTAATATGGCCCAACAAACTGACGAAATAAACCCAAAGTGGGTATGAATAGCATTAAATATAAAGATCATTTTATCATATTTTATCATAAATATTGATTTTCATACTTATTGGGTATTTTAACATTCAATGTTTGTAATCAACAGAGATTTTCAGTTCTCCTTGATACAAACTAAGCTAAAGATGCACATAAATAAACAGTAAAAACTCTTCTATACTCTAAAAAATTTCAAATGTAAGATTTGAACCTAAAGGACTAATCTGTGATATATATTCTATTTCAGCCATCCCTGAATGATTTATCAATTTATACTCCCTAATTATTGAATCAATACAATATTTTTTCCTATGTACGTTTTATAAATCCGATATTACTTTCTTACCCATTGATAACATTACAAAATAGTCGTAATATTGACTTTGGTTCATAAGTTTTTTTTATTTGTTTTCATTTAAAGGCATTTTTAATGTTTGACTAATATTCAGCAAAATATGGTAAGAAAATAAAGTTCAACTTTTTCACATACACAACGTTTAACTAGATGAGTATAGTCCTAAAGAACAAATCTTTAACTCCCTAAAATGTAAGGCAACAAAGGGAAAATGAGATATAATTGGTCCTTAATTAGTGCCTTAAAGATATAATTAGTGCTTAATTAAGTATATAATATGCACATAAAAACCCATTTAATTCGATGCCAAAACAAAGAAAGTAATGCCCTTATTAAGGTCAACAATCCTTAAATGGTACATGCACACACCTCCTTTATTTATGTATCCTATAAAAGAGCCTACACAAAATATATAGGCTGTAAATATTCAAGACTCTTATTACCTTCTTATGGCAGATGAAGTGTGTGATAATAGTGGTGGTGGTGGTGATACTCCCAGCAAGGTGGTGGTTGATGGCCAAAAACTACCGCCCATGGTGGTGGAAGTGGCGGATGATAAGAACAAATCACCACGACACCCTCGATGGACCCGACAAGAAACACTTACCCTTATAGAAGGCAAGAAAGTTGCAGAGAATAGAGGCCGTAGGGGCCGGAGATCAAGTTCGGTTTTTGGGTCAGACCAGGTCGAACCCAAGTGGGATTCGGTTGCTTCGTACTGTAAACAGCATGCGGTGAACCGGGGACCGGTTCAGTGCCGGAAAAGATGGAGTAATATGGTGGGTGATTTCAAGAAGATAAAAGCATGGGAATCACAAGTGAAACAAGAATCGGATTCATATTGGGTGATGCGAAATGATTTGAGGAAAGAGAATAAGTTGCCGGGTTTTTTTGATCAGGAAGTGTTTGATGTATTGGATGGGAAAGCGTTTACTAAGGCGGAGTATAAGCTTGCTCTGGTGACTGTAAGTGCCGATACAAAAGATGAAAATGGGGTGGGGGTGGTGGCCGGAGACGAAGAGGAGGAGGAGGAGGAAGGGGAGGCGGAGGTGGAGGAGGATGTGGTTTTTGATAGTGGTCGACGTGCTGTGTCTGATGATGGTCTTTTTCCAGATTCCGACAAAGTGGAGGAAGAAGCTGACAACCCAATACCGGGATCCCCGGATCCTATGCCTATTTCAGGTGACTTTCTAAGGTCTTGTGTGATTCAAACGGCGTTTTGAAATTGATTATCTGTATGCTTGCATTTAGCAACTTCTCATTAATATCTGGTTTTCACTAACAGAGAAGAGATGTCAAACATTTCACCAGGATTGCTCACAAGGTAAACCATATTATATCTTCTGTTAGTTTATTCTTGTTGATTAATGAATTTCCAGTAATGATCTCTTCACATTTGTTAGTATTTAGTATAGATTATATCGGTCCATGTATTTTGCCATATTACGGAAAATTCATCAATCAACAATTATTTATTCTAATCTATATTTTCTAGTCTGAACTTATTTATCTAAAATCAAGTAAATTTTGAGAGTAAATAAAAAAAACTTATTTACAAATTTAACAAGTGAAAATATAACAACAAAAAATGACCCAAACTCAACCCAATATTAACGGATTTGGTTAAGATTTTTAACTCGTTTAATTAAATAAGTCAAATTAGGCTTTTCTAATTTGATCTCAATCAGCTAACCTATTTAAATTTAGTTTTTTCTTTTTTTTTTTTTTCTTTTTTTTTTTTTTTTTTTTTAAATTAGCTTATATTTAATAATAGTAAAAATAAAATCGTAATATTATATGAAAAAGTGATCTGTAATTGTCTTTGAACAAATATTTAGGTTTGTAACTTATTTAGTCTTTTTTTAATTATTTTTACATTTTAAATTTTAGTAGGTCAACCTAAGTTTTTAACAGGTTGGGTTTAAAAACATAAATATGTCAACCCGTTTATTTAAAAATATGGGTTCGATTGGAAAATTCTGCCCGTTAAATTTAAAAATGTCTTGTTGGATGAAAATTTCAACCCGTTTGATTATAATGTGCAAACCCAAACTTAACACAGTGCGACTCATTGTCACTGTGTCTCACCGCCGGTAGAAAGTAGCCCAATAGTATTCAAATGTTAACACTTGTTAATTTGTTTTTTTAAAATGATAAGATTACAATTGTAACAGTATAGTTCTTGTGAGTTGTGACGAGAAATTATTTAAAATAAAAATAATAATCGTGACATTTAAACCCATCCATTTTATTTAAAACACTAATTTATGCAAGAAATATCTATATTTACCAATACATGCAACAAAATAGATCTCTTATCAAGTTATGTTATGTCATTCTTCAACCAAATTTTTACATGCTTATACATTATTTACCAAAATTGGTTATATAAATTATTAAAATATAGCAGGTACCCTAAATGAGCAGCAAACGAACTGGGCTTCATGGAAAGGACGTATGCCACAGGAGGGATGTAAGAGGAGAAGAGTATCAACAGATGAACTCCACAGCAGAAACTTAAATGCTCGATTAATTGAAGTTCTTGAGAAGAATGCCAACTCATTGAATGCAAGGCTGGAAGCAGAAAACACAAACTGTCAGTTGGAAAGAGATGAAAGAAAAGACTACAATAACAATTTGGTTTCAGCTCTTAACAGGATCTCAGATGCGTTAACCAAAATTGCTGATAAGTTATGACCAAGGACGATTAAGAGCAGAACATTTCTAATAGTAAACTTTCAGTTTTTGTTCAATGTTCTTTGGATTATTTATTTCATGTATGGTCTTTTGGCCTGCAGTTATGTCATTTTATGTAGTCATTAGGCTTTATGGTTTGGTAATGCCCTCATATTCAATAACTTATGCATAGAGGTGGGAATTTCCATCAATTTTCTGAAAATATGTATCTTTTATTTAGGTTATATATTATCTCCGAGGGATCAAATCAGTAAAACTATAAATTAGTTTAAATAAAACGGGTCAAAAAGGTCGAAATTCATCCAAAGTGTATTCAGATTTTATTAAAAAAAAAGATGGATTATTAATTAAAAATATATTTTTTCAACCATATATATTTAATATACTAGGTGTAAAACTCTTGTATTATACGGGTTGATTAAAAAAATAAAATATTAAAGTCTAAACAATAAGTATTTTTTAAATAAAATTTTGAAATAAAAAATGAAGAAATATATTAATTGCAATTTAGTATCATATTTATTACATTTGATACTTTACATATATAAATATAATTATTATGTGGTTTTTTAATTTTAAAAATTGAAAAAAATCATAAATTGATATATGAATATTATTTATTTAAAAAATATCACGAAATTACAAGTGCCAAAACTCATTAGAAATTGAACGTGACAAAATTATTTTCATTTATTATACTAAAATTATAAAAAGCTTCGGCCTCGTGTCCCGTTTGGGATCTCCTCTTGCATATCTAAAGTTTTCTCCAACCAAACTCCATTTCCATGGAGAATTAGGAGAAATTGGTCCAATTGAATAGTGGCTCCATATTTGGTGTGCACCATTTTTGTGTCAAAGAAAGAAAGAAAGTGCCTCCACAATATTTGGTGTAAACTATTCTTCAAATTAGAGCCATTTTTTAATTAAAATATTATTTTGATTGCTTTTTTTATTTTTATAACTATTATAATTATTATATATCATTTATAAATATTAAAATATACTTTTAGTGTGATTTATAGTATTTTTGTGAAGTTGAGAAGAAATCACAAAAAACAATTTAACTTTATTGATGTTAAAGTTAGTATAAGGTAGAGAAGGGTTAGTATAGGGGACCCTATTAATCCCTATCCCTTAATTGGGTAATGAAAAATATCTATCCCCATCTCCCGAATCCCAAGAAAGGTTTCATGATGGAATCCATGACTTTTTCCTATTAGATTTTAGAGAGTGGATGACAAAAGTCTTCAGCAAAACTGATATGGAGTTCAACATGTTGTAGGTATACCGCTCCCACCTCAACATGTTGTGTAAACCAACCCTTCTCGGCATTGCATTGTCGAAAAGGGAGAAAATTGTACGTGTGTGCATTTAATCCCATTTTTTCACTTTCTCTCTCTTCTTCATCTCTTCTCTGTTGTCGTTGCACCACTCCATCTGCTTTTCTTGACTTGGTAAATCAAGATACAATATATATGGAGCTTATATGGTTTTATAGATAAAAATAATATCATAATAATGACTTGTCGAAAATCAATTTGACTTTACTTGTTAAACATCATTTTATCATTTTTAAATTTCATAAATTAATTATATATAAAAATGATTATAAATTTAAAGACTCTGTACTGTAACCGTAAGACCAAGGGTGTGTATCGAAAGCATCCTTCACTTTTTAAATTTAAATGTCACCTCAATATTTTCCTCACTCTTCTTTTCTTCACCAAAACGCATGAAATAGTCATCTTTCACTACCTTTCACTACACTTTATTTTATTTTAAAAAAAAAAAATATATTTTATACAAATATTATACTCATTTTATAGGAAAAACCATAAATTTTGATATATTTTTTTAGTAGACATATAATTTAATAAATATATTAAAAAAAAAAAAAAAAAAACTGACCAACCAGAGGAGGAGAGAGAATGTGGGGAGCATTCCCCTCAACTCCTTCCAGCACCCTTGGTGTAGTGTTCCGAGGTGTGTGTTCGGGAACTTTCCCGCTACACTGCGCACAGCCTAATACTTATTGCGTTTAGTTATATGATACAACCATATGAGTGTTAAAAAAAAAAAAAAACAAAAAAACAAAAAACAAACAGGGCGCTTCAAACGAAATAGCAATTGAAACATGGAATTTGAGATTGAAACTAAAATGGAAACAAATGAACCAATAACCTGCTCATTTGTACATCTTCCAATCTTTTTACGTTATTTTCCTCAGTCCTCACTATGTACAAATCCTATGACAAATATCCAGGGGTCAATTCAGCAATAATCTTACAACAATTGTCTTAGATACCGCAGCCTACAATAGAATCTGAATCTCCCCCTTGGCCCTTATAGATTATCAGTGAGTTTCAGGTATTTGGTGGTGGTAAAGCCACCGGTTCTAAATGCCAAGAACTCTCCGGAATCCCATGCCCTCCAATTCCGGGCACCCGGAAAGCCGGAATCCGGTGCGAAAAACACAACATTTCTCTCTTTGAAAACCCACGAACCATTTCAAACCCATCTTCACCTTGCAATCGCTCATAAAAAGTCAAACAACCCTTGACTTCCACCAATCTAACCACCATCATCTTCTCCCCTTCAGAAAAATCAGACAAAATCTCAACCACCCAACATTTATAATTATCATAATTCAGTCGATTAAATCCCGATTTACAATTTTTGAACACCGCCCAAACCTCCCCCTTTAACGGAAAGATCTTGTAAACCGAAGCACTCATGCTTTTGTAGCAGTTAACCGAATGCGAGAGTTGACTTAAGTCAAAATTGAGTACGGTGTCTTTCGCTCTAAACATACCACAAACAATCGGGAAATTCCGGTTTTTCCAGCTCAGATCGATGTCCGGAACGGGCTCCGGTTCGAGAACCGTTGCAGATAACCGGGTCGGTGAAATCATGCTATTGATTACAACGTATTGGCGAGGCATCAGGTCTTTCCCGGTGTACACGGACCAAACCTGGCCCATTGTGAAGTCATTTACAGACCAATTTGGGCCCAAAACCGTGCTATCTGGGCCAGGTGTAGGGTCCACAAACTCGGGCTCTTTCTCTTTAGCCACAGTTGAATCCTCGGGTTCTTGACTTGAGTTTCTCAGAGCTAATTGATCGAGCTCAAACATGCCGTTGCGGACCCCATCGATCTCGCCACCTGTAAATCTATACGCTGGAATGTTGTGGGCCAGCATGTATAGGTCTCGTGGCCCGACATGTAGAATGACATTTTCGTCCTCGGTTCGTTCAAAAATGCTTTTGAAACCGTTCACTTTAACCAATGGACAGCACTCGACTCCTGTGTATATCGAATAATCGGATACGATTTCAAATGGTTTAAAAGAACAGTCTTGTATGACATCAGGATTGTAGGACCATTCTTCGAGGTCAAAATCTTGATATAACGCCCAAACTTCGCCCTTTTTCGGGTAAATCTCGAATAACTCCTCTGTAACTCCGGAATCCCATGAGCATTTGTACGAAAATACCCCTTTCGACCCGATGATTCCATTTGTTTCTGTATCCAAACAAAACGATCCACAAGCAACAGGCAAACCCGCATCAAACCATCTTCTTTCACCTTCAGTAACTGGAATCGGTTTCAACCATGTAACTTCAATTTCACCTCCTGATTTTTTACAAATTTGCCCGTATCTACCACCAATGAAAGGCTCACGTAAACAGCAATGAACAGCCCAAATATCTCTTAATTCAAAACATTCGTGTGTCCTGAAACTATCAAAACCGTAATAATCCTGTTCGACCCTTTTTAAAACACCCTTTAGTGTACGTGATACCGAATTAATATCCATGTCTTGACCTTTATGCCCTTCGGAAACAACATCCGAAGAGGAAGAACCAGATTCTTGTAATATGTTATTGACATGAACTTTGTCACCATTGTTATCGGAAATCGCATTCGGGTTGAGTTCAAAAGATTCGTAATTTACCCAACTTATACCTCGTTTTATATCAAAAGTCACGCGCTTCTTCTTATCAGAAAGCACAGAATATGCTTCATGTAAAAGCTTAAGGGCCAATTCGGTAGCAGGGAACTTGTATTTTATAGGTTGTAATAAGGACACGAGTTTCTGATATTGAGAAGTTATATCTGTGAGGTTTGATGAAGGCATAAGCTGAAGAACCCAGTAGTAATCGGTTTCATAACCTGGGATTATGTTTGTGGAGGCTGAAAGAATCTCACAAACAGTAAGCATTGGGGCAATGTGATCCAGTGCTGGAAAAAGTTGTTGGGCTTTCTTGAGTTTTGTTCTAGCAGCAACATAATCATTAGAAAGAATCAACTTTTCAGCATCTGATTTTTCTCGAACTGCTTCTACTTTATTGTAAGACATGATAGCCTGATTGTTATTGTCTTTTATATTATATCAGTTCATACTCAACAAAGCTTCTAAAGAAACGAAGAGCATAACTGAGTAAACCAACAACATATAGAGCTATCTTTATCTTTTCCTGCATTATAGTTTTATGTTATGAATTTCTTGTAGAAAAAGAGCACTTAAAATGCAGTAGAGAAATAGAAGCATATATGATAATTGATATACCTTTTGGCTTAAAACCATACCAATTGCAGTTACATTGTAAATTCAAATATCAAAACAAAGATTTTCTAACCAATTTAGCATCAAAGATTTTCTAGATCTGGTATTTTTCTTCAAGCTAAAGATGGTCAACACTTTGATGTTAAAAACTGATCCATCGGATCAAAATAATTCAATTTCTATTAGGAACAACGGATGCATAATGCAACATATTGCCAATTGAAATCCTTAGGACAGCATTTTCGAAGTACTAGTGAGATAAGTTTCTACTCATATGATTAACTTGGATGCTTAACCTATTTAGGTAACTAATTGAAGTAATTTTCAGTAGCCAAATCAAACTCTTTCTTCCAGGTCTGGTTTGAATTATCAACTTTAGGGTAAACATCCTACAAATCCTTAAAAACTCCCAATTATTCACAAAAAAGGAGCAGACACCGAAGATCATAAAAATGCACCCTAAAATAATTTCGTAGTCAATCTTTTGCTAAAAAACCTAACTAACTCAACATTCATAGAAAACGTAAGAAATCAGCTAGCATTTAAATACCAAATGAATCCAACAAGAATTCAGATAAATTGACAGCAAAGCAACTAAAATGCATGGAAATCAAAGCAGAAATTGATATCACTGTGTGTAGAGTATACCTTTTCTCAGACATGAAGCTTCAATTCTTGACCAAATTCATAAATTAGAGCTGAAAATACATAATATATGGGGTGAAATTGAGCAGCTAAACAAATTTGGTTACAATGAAACATGCATGTAGAATGTAAAGAAAGAAGGTTGGGAGAAAAAATTGGGAATATTTTGGTGTTGTGTTTTAGTAATTGGGGGAGACGAGGGTGTGGAATGCGTGCTATTGCAATGTTTTCCACTTCCTCGAACCCATCGATGGGTCCCATAAAGTACTGACATTCAAAACCGGCCCGATATAAATTGGGCCGGACTCAACTATTTTAATTATATATCAATAAAAGTTTTAAATTAAACTAATAGTAAATTACAGAAATAGTCCATATAATTTCACAAAATTTATAGTTTTGATCTATAAATTTAAATCATTATATTAGACTATCATAGTTATCCAAGTTTCTGTTTATTTGAACAAAATATTAAAAATAATGTAAACGAACAAAACAACATTAAATAATATATTAGAATAAAACGTCAACAATATTAAAAGATATTTAAACCATAAAAAATAAATGAATAAAGTTATGAATAAATAATAATATGATATATATAATTTAGATAATTAATTTAAAAAATAAAAAAATTATAAATAATCTATATTAGTTTTATTAAAATAAAATTGAT